CCAACTGTTTGTGTACGTCCACATACGTTTCTTAACACGTGCTGTTCAGCTCTCGACGTGTGTCGGGCCACCCAAGATTGTCGCCGCGGTGCCGGGAGGGTCCGTGACGGCGTGCGTAAAGAAAGCGTTTCCCCGTAATGGGTAGGTCGGCGTGCGGCGTGCGTAAAGGAAGGGTTTCTCGTTAATGGGTCGGTCGGCTTTTTTTACCTTTAATCTTCGTCCGTTTCCCTTCAATGGTCATCAAGTGGTAGGCGAACGAAAACACTTTGTATGTGCATGTGGAAAAAAAGAAGAAAAAAAAGGAAGAAAAAACGAAAAACAAGAACAAGAAAGAACAGTGTACACGTACGAGTCAGTCAGAAAAAAGCATGGTCTCCAGCTATCAATCTTTGTCACCAATTTCCTCCTGGCTTACTTCCCGGAGGCAGTTGAGTTTTCCGGGGTCCTCGTTGATGCCGGCTACTAATGTTCAAAATTTGAAAATAAAATATGCCTCACGCTGTTCGCGCTCGCGTCTGTTTGAGAAACCGGACTGCAAAAGAGTTACGCTGATATTTTCAAAACTGTGGTTTGGCAGGCACAGATGTCTACATAAAGGTAGCTTCGACAGTGAAGTGGCGTGGTACCAGTGGTTATTGAACCGCAACCGAAATGGCGTGTCTGTTTGGCCGATATATTCTTGTCCGCAGATGTTGCAATGTAGCATATATATATATATATATATGTATATGCTCGCCCCCCACTCGTGAATAAGTTGGTGCACCACTGCGCGTGTGCGCAGTGCTTTGTGTGCATCTTATCCTTTTCAAACGTAATGAATAGTTATCGGCTGTGTGACGAAGAATGCAGAAGCCATCCCGTGCGCCGCGCGGTCACTCCAGCTGCCAAGACACTCATCGAGGCCATGATGATGATGAATCAACATTTATTGAGCCCAACATTATTGATAGTGCGTGCAGGCACCAGACGGGGCGGTTCCAGCGAAGTGACGGTGTCCTGTGTTGGCTTGGTTGGTGTCGTTATATCGCGTGTGTGCGGTGCTCTCTGTGTCTGTGACCGTTTCCGTACGCGACGGACAGTTAGCATCAGTTTCACAAACGATGCGAAGACATGCTGTGTGCCACACTGTCCATCCGGCTACAGAGGAACCATTGAAAAGGTGTCTTTCTTCGTGTTTCCCAGTGACGCCGTAAGCCGTAAGCAGTGGAAGCAGGCTGTACCGCGTAATGAAACCGGCACCTTCTCGTTCAGTTCACTGAACTTTCGGGTATGTGAAAGACATTTCTTTAATGAAGACATTATTGGTGCTGATGAATGCGTTATAAAAGGCACACATTAGCTGCTAAGCTACCGAGGCGGGTAAAATAGCATTATCAGGGTTTCCGCTTGTGTGCAATAATATTGTTCCATAACAATATTGCTGCGATATTCACTTCAGAATGTTATACGTGCAGTCTGTCCGAAACAGAACTTAGCCACGCGTGGGCAATCTACGATATTTTTTTTTCCTGAAGTGGTGTTACGCCGAGCGTCGGTGGCGCACGGAAATGTACCGTAAACTATATTCAGAGGAATTTAAGTATTTTTTTTTTAAGCATGGACAAATCGTCCCGAAAAAGTATCGCATAAGTTGCACAACTCAATACGTCTCTTGGCGAAGAGGGGTGACGCACGCCCATTCTCTACGATACGTATGTGCGCCTGTGTAATGGCAATGTTGGTCGCAGTTCTTGTGCTGACGTCGGCTACAGCCTCGAGGAAAATAAAAAGCTATACAGAGGCGCGATCAAGTAGTATTGCTAAATTAGCGTGTGGGATGGGGCTGCACACTGATATCACCGCAATTGAAAGGAATAGAACACTGTCGTAACCGAACAAACATTTATGGTCTCTACGCGTAGCTGCGACTACACTGCCTATACGCGATTGGTGACCAGTTCAGAAAACCGCACAGAATTATGTCCGTGAAGCCGTTTGAGCATCTGCGATGAAAGCCCCCTTGCCGGCAGTGGTGCCCCTGGCGGAAGGCTCTGTCCCTATACCAAACTTGGTTTGAAGTTTCGTGACCAGTAAAAAAAAAAGTATCGAAGGACTATGGTATCGGATTAAGAGAGACGGGAGACGAGCGTGGCACAACACCCTTTATCACACCAAAAAATAAAAAAGAAGTAAAAAATTGAAAGAGTAAACAAAACAGTTGTGAGAATACAAAATTACTCCAACAACAGCTCCAACAACAGCTTGTACATCATGGAGGAAGGAATACGAAAGAGGGGCCCTGACGTTATATTTGTGAAGCCGCCACATCACAAACACCCGCACTGCCTCCTAGAAGAAGAGCGAATAAACACTGTGATTCCCGCTGCATGGCGGCCTTGGAAGCAGCGTTCGCGGCGAGTCGATTCTTGATGGCTGCTTCTTTCACGTGTTCCTTAGGAGAGCTGCGCAATGCCCAGGTGTTGTGTATACTCGGTGCGAATTGCACTGCCGAAAGTACCTGGTGTCGTGTTTCACGTACGTTTGCTTCATTGTTGATCACTAATGCATAGTATTTGCATGCTGAGCTTTCGGCTGTATGCCCCGTTGGTTCTTACTCACAAGGACACACTGAGGACACATAACTTCTGTTTTTGGTGTCGTAGCATTTTATCACGTTTTTAGAAGTTATGTCATTCATACTAAAGGGCATAAACTTTTCTTGTTATCGCTCTATGTGTATGTATTGTGTAGTGTGTGCTCGCTGCATGTTAGTTGTGTGCGCACTGCAATTGCAAACTTTATGTGCAAGATCGCGTATATAATGCAGTGGTATCTTCTTTTCGACGTGAAGTTGTGTCAAGTTCTATGTTGGCGTTCCACGGAATAGCTCTTAAGCAGGCTATTAAAATCGCGCAGTGCCACAGTGACACCTTATATTCGAGCAAAAAACCGCTTATCCGCCCGTAGATCGGGAAATCGGGTTACGAGAAAGGAAAAGAAAGGCCTTACACCCAGCAGAATGCGCAAGTGACTGCCAGGTGAGTTCAAATACGATAATGCAGGGGCTGAATGGTTTTGATTGCAGTACGTACTGGTGCTTTCTGTGCTGTTGCGCAAAAACACTGCATGAAGAATTTCAGCATGTGGTGCTCAAGCCTGCCATGCAGGAATAGTCTGGGAAACACGTGCTCACAACAATTTACAGCTCGCAAACCGCACATTACGCGCTAAGTTTACTCTGGGGATATAAATCAGCACAGAAGCGAATCAGCTCGAAGAGCATGCCACGAAGCATCTGTTGTTTTGTTTGCCCCGTACCGGTTTGTTTTCCCCACGACCTACTGTACTTTTGACCTGCCCAAATAGGCCCTCTCCAGCAGCCACATCTAGTTTGTACCTTTTGCTTCTAGGGCTATAACCTACGAGCGGCGTGGCGCTAGTCAGCACCTGTTCACTGATGTCACCTTTAGCATTTGTGGTCATATTTCACCGAACAGAGCACTCATAGTGTGCAATCATTATGTACACATAAAAATAATTTGAAAATAAATATATTAAATGTCATTCAGAAATTGTTTGCAATTAAATGAACGCGACACCACATAGGCTCTCCTACACTACGTAAGTCGACAGGTTCCCACGTTTTTCAACCAGTGTGCAATAAATACTTAACCGAACTAAAGAGCTTACTTTACCAGCCGTCTAACTGAAGAAATAGTCACATATATGCCGGCAGTTCATCATAGAATACAGGCATTCATACTCCCGTGCCGTCCATATAGTCATAGAGTGGCAGACGCACAGCTTATAGGTAGCGCCACCAACGGTTAGCAGTTGAACGAGAGCAGGGACATGCGCTCCCATAGGAACCCCATCATCTGGGCAAGTCATAAGTACAGTAGCTCGTGGTTTGCCCCCATGGGTTTGCCCTATAAATTTGACGTCATTTCCACCACACTTTTCGCAATGCATGGAGGAAGGAATATACTCGCAATACATCAAGATACAATAGGGCCTCTCTGGGCCTCTCCTCAGTATTTCCTTTATGTAGTACACGCGCAAACCTAAACTGACTGTAGCCCAGTCTAAATCGGTTTCTAGCCCTAGCCACTAGTACTAAGCCAGTATGGCGTCTCAACAATGGAACTTTGTACAGTTCGTCGCGTAGCCACATTGACTCTGTGCCCTTTTGCTGTGTCGACGGTTCGTCGGTTCTGTGGTCGACATTCTTCCCGTGCGTTCCTACAGTTGTGGTTATTTTCCGCCAAACGAGCCGATCGACCTCATTGCCGGTTAGTTCCAGTTCCGGTCTTTGTCGTCATCTCCGGCTCAGTCTCCTAACTCGTCAATAGTGTCATGACTGTGGTGCGGGCTGCACTCGTTCTGGATTGAAGTTGACAGGCTGTAGGCCCATCAGGAACTGCGTTGAAACATTGCGGTAAGTCAGCGCAGCCACACTCGAGTCTTCCAAGATCAACGACCACTTCCCAAGCCTCTTCGCCGACAGCTGCAGAACCGGGTGGCACTACTGCATTTGTCGCGGAAGCGACGCTGACCTTGCTGATCTTCTCAGTCTGAAGCCCCAACGCACAGTGATATCTCATCCTCTGTGATTTTTTATCACGGCGCGGGTCCCGTTTACCACAAGCCTTCTTGTCCAATATTGTACGTGAATGTGGCAATATTGTACGTGAATCAAGAGTCTCGCGCACATGCGGCGCGTTCCGACGCCCGGCACATACCTCGCACCCTCTTACTCATGACAGAACAAACTTTTTTTGGTTGAAAAGCAGTACCCGGGCTGGAGACATCATAATAAAATGGGGACTATTTTTTTGTTTTTAGTATATACGTACCTGTAGTCTTCTTTATTTCGTGCGCAATAATCTTCATTAGTGCAATATGAACCAACCAGCGCAGCAGCAAGTGAAATTAAACTAAATTTCTGTATCTGAAATGCAGGTCTTAGAGTAGCAATGTGTTCGTTTTGTTTGTTCACAAAACTTTTTTTTTTCTTTTAGGGCACCATCTCCCTTGGTTGCCAAGTATCATTGGGAAGGCACACTTAATTTTTATCTCCCGGCAGAACAGCGGAAGGACTTTCATTGTAAGTGGTGACTCCTGCATTTTTAGATGTCAACTTCATGATTACCTCCTCCTCCCCACTTCCCTTTTTTTGAGTGAAAGTATTTTGTGATTTGAGCCCTTATTTGAAGAATGTAAACTTTGTTGCTGTGAAGTTGAACCTTGACATGATGCAATGATAGTTGTGGCCAAAAGCTTTCTCTTGTCGCATGATGACTGTTACGTGGACAAAGGCAGCAGGCGGTGTGTCCTTGATGAAACTCTATGTGGCTGAACTTGTGGCCAAGAAGTTGATAGTAAATCTACAGCAATACGCACTGTATACACTGCGGCGATCAGATCACCCGCCATCGAAAAACTGATCAACACAGGGATGTGCCCTCTTTTATGCAAGACGCATCGAACTTTGCAGTCTTATGACTGGTGGTTGCACAAGCTCTAGAGTAATCTTGAATGTTTGCATCCTGCACATTATATTGAAAGAACCCTGGCATAGAAAGTTTGGTTTGCGACTTTTTTACAACACTAATTTGTAGCTTTCTGCCTGGTATTGCTGAAATTGAATCGTAAATGCTAACACATAATATAATCAATGCTAGCATAATTAAGTCAGAAGGCTTTTGCATCAGTTCAATACGCCTGGCCGAATACCATAAAGAACTAGAACACTACAGTGGGGCAGCACCTGAGCCTGCGTGTGATCAAGCTTCAGTGACACTCAACACGCCGCTTCCAATCGGGGGACCTGCAGGCGATGAATTCTGAAACAAAGTGGATGCTTTAAGTGGGTGTCCCTCAGAAAAAAAAAAGCATTCCTGCTGTAAGCAGCCAAAACCACCTTAATAGGAGCTAACAACAGAGTGAGAGGGTGGGATGAACAATAGTCTTTGCCAGATGTCAGTCAAGATATTTTGCATACCCTGTTCAATGCCAACAATACTTGCTTGACCTCTGCAACGTCATGAGGGGGCCTCTGCCTACATCAAACCACACAAAATGTTGATGTGACGTGGTACTCAGATGGTCACGTATCGTTACTTTACAGCCAAATTGAAATATCATGCAGGCAACTCTCGTCACTATATTATTAATCTGTTAGAAATGATCCAGCATGCAGCACTATCAAACAACTCAAGCATCTCGAGTTTTCAAATTTGGTGTCGGGGGCTTGCAGGGGCATCTGTGTAAGCAGGCGTTTGGTGAGTGGCATCACCACAGAGGGGTTTCGACCTGCTCCCATGTGTTGCTGTGCGTGGTTTAGCCGTGTCCGGGGAAAAGGGGATCCTGGGGGTTGAGCCAACGCTGGGTGATTGGACCTGCCCTGGTAGAGGCTACACACTCCTTTTGTCCCAGCTTCTTGTAGGCGGCACCCCTGGGCTGACCCACCCAGGATAAATAGGCAGTCGCTTTTTAGGGGCGAAGCTCCTAAAGGTGTAGGTATGTTTATCCCTTTTATGTATGTACGTGACCGTCTATAGTTCCACCTTTGCAAACTGCCCACTACATCGTCCTTGCAAACGTCCCACTATGCCCCATCACCGATCCACCACTTCACCGACCATAAAGCAAATACTGTTGAGAAGTAGCCATTATAAAATGCAAGATGGTCGTATACTTGTATCCGGGTGCGCGTTAAAGAGCCATAGATTTTCCCACTGTGTCCATCCCTTGCTTGTATACATGACCGCCAACAGTTCCACCTTTACAAACTGCCACTACTTCGTCCTTCCAAACATCCCACTATGCCCATCACTGATCCATCATTCCACCGACCATAAAGTCATTATAATGAAGGTTGAATGAAAGCGACGTATAAAACATCCCGCTATGCCCATCACTGATCTGTCATTCCACCGACCATAAGGTCGTTATAATGAAGGGTGAATGGAAGCGACGTATAGCTGTCATTTCTGAATAATAAAAATTTCTTGTATACCGTGTTTGTCACGTCTTTAATTATGTAGTAGGCAATATTCACGGATCTTTCACGGTTTAGCGATGAAACCTTCCAGAGCTTCGCCCCCCTCATCATGATTCACTCTGTGGATATGCTGTGATTTTTTCTATCTTTGTCTCTTTATATCTTCATCTTTATTTCTCTTTTATTCTTTCCTGTCTTCTACTCTTTTTCATTTACTTCTAGTTTTCTTGGTGGCAAGGGCTAACTTTGTGTAGTCATTCTACCTAGAGCAGTTATATTTGGGTATGTATGGGCAATGCATAGCTGGCAACTCCAAGTGTTTATTATTCAATCTTGTAGCGTCCCTTTGTTGGACTTAATGGCGGGTGGCCATCATTGCTGCCAAACTTCAATTACTTCATATTGAAAATCATTTTTCCACACTTCCTGATCTCTACCCAAAGAGGTGGTGAACCACCGAAAGCATCATAATTCACAGCCAAACCAAACCTTCCCCAAGTACTACGTAATACATAGTCAGAACGCAAGGAAAACAGTCCGAGCGATTTCACCATTTCTTGTGTCAAGAACCCTCACAGAAGAAATTGGCCCAGGGCAGGGGTTCTCAAATTGGGTTCCGCGGAACTTAAAGGGGCCCTGCAACACTTTTTGAGCATGGTCAGAAAACGCTGCCGATGGGTAGTAGAGGCGCCCGACAACACACAAGCCAAATATTATAGTACAGCATGCGGCTTAAAATTCACAATACATTACCAAAGTCAGCTAAAAATTGCTTTGTCTTCTCTCGACAAATCACATTATATGCCCAAAAATCACACGTCAACGACCCATTTAACAGCCATTGGCTGATTCGAACATGGCGCTCGCTCGTTACAGAGGTCACCGCGGGAGGCTACTACTTGTCCATGCGTGCGCGATCACACTGAAAAAGTGAAGCATTCGAAGAAAAAAAAAGGAAAAAAGTGATCAAGGTCGCAAAGCACAGGGGACATTTTCTTGTGTCCCTGCCATCCCTCTCTGCTTAGATTCCAGGGCTTTCGTCAGGACGAGAGAACAGAGAATACAATCGCAGCATGCGACAAACCTTTGTAACTTCACTCGCACTGGACAGATTCTTAACATTTTTGCGGCAATGAGTTGGGGAGGCAATAAGCTCTTCCAGTGAATTCATTCCATGGTTACTTAAAGAAGTGTTTCAGGGCCCCTTTAAGGGTTCCTCAGGCCCCACCTTGGAGTTCTGCGAGCCACTGATAAATTTTCTCTGGCTCCGCACTCGACCACTTAAGCACAGGAATCGACTGGATCCAGCAGCCGACACACGGTTGGCACTGAGTGTGACTGAGCCTCAAATCGATTTGTTAGTGCAAGTAAAGTGAGTTAAGTCACATGTTGGTGAATGGACTATTTATATACCCCTGCTTTTGAATTTTTCTAACGTGAAAATGTGAAAAAGCTCACCGGAAGATTGGGGGGGGGGGGTCTTTGGCACTCAATATATCTTAGCAGCGTTCTTTGGCACCAACATAATAATAATAATAATAATGGTTTATTTTTCCACCAATACACAGTTGATGGAGGGGGTGAGAATAAAAGCGATTATCCGCTTGACTAAGTTCTCACCCCCCAATGTACATAAGGCAGTGGCGGTGGCGGCAACAGAACACCACAGCTGACAAGAATACACAACATTAACAAAATTAGAATTGATAAAGCCTTCAAACTAAAAAAGAAAAAAAAAAAAAAAAAAACCCACACAGACACAGTGCAATAAACATATATAGTAATATAAATCAAAAGTCGCAATATGTAAAGCACGAATACATTAAACATATTATTTACATGCAGCGGTGACTGCATTTTCATCCTTTGTGTTTTTGTTTATTGTTTTCCCTAATTGTTATCTACGAACTTTGAAGATAAGGTCTTAATTGTCAGGAGTGTTAATAAGATATTGGCGAAGTTGAGAAAGGGTGATATCTGCTATGTTAACACCTGATGAATATAACCTGTTTAATTGTAACGGTAGCTGATAAGTAATTTTTTGTTGTCCATAGTTAGTTCTTATACGAGGAAGCATCCAAGGTGGTTGATGACGGTGAGGGTACTTTGATTGATAACGTATCATGGAAGCGATATCTGTAATAGTAAATGAACATGTTTGAGAAACCCTAGCCTAGGGTATAAAGTAACAAAGATGGGTTTGCGACAAGACCCAATATGACAAGCCCTTAAAACTTGTTGCATTTGGCAATATCCCTGTGTCAGTTGTTCCACACAGGTCGATGAATACAGTACGCAGAGTCATTTCTGATGATGACCTCCTCGTATTATCTGAAAGATAACTGTCGAAAGGTTGGCAGGAACGAAACATGAAGTCTAAAAAAATTACAATAAGGTGAGATGATGAAGAGATTCCTACAAAGCACATCATCATCACCTTTGGAACTAGCAACCTACCCAAATAAATTGAAACTGGTTAGTGTAACCTCCGTGCCAGACCTTGTGTACTGAACCCTCATCGCTTTTTCAAATGCCAGCACTTTGGACATGGATCGCAAAGCTCCAGAAGGCACGCTACTTGTGCAAAATCTAGCTCCAACAAACACTCAACGGACACTTGTACTGCAGCAACCCGCTGTGTGAACTGCGAAGGACACCATCTTGCCTACTCACAATCATGCCCATCTTTGAAAAAATAAAAACATATCCTTGAGGTTAAAGTAAAATTCAATCTGTCTTTTTCTAAGCGCTTTTCCCTCCATAACCAGCACTATCCTTCCTTTGCGGATTGACGTGCCAGGGTGCTGTTCCACCTCTCGGCGCCCGCGAGTGTCATACAGAGTGTGAACGCGGTCGGGCCATCTGCACCCAAGGCTGGAGTAGTCTGTGCTGCTCCGCCCCCTGCCAAACAGGTTCAGCAGAATTCAGAGTCGGCCCGACCCTGGACCACTGCAAGCGCAGTTAGTTCCAAAACTTTTGTGAACATGCCTGCTGATCAGGCACCATCTGCCACCTCGCAAGACGTCATGGATAGAAGTCCCACTCCTCTGCCACCTCAGACGCCGAAGGACAGGTGTGGCTCTTAAAAGCGTGCCCGAAAA